AAATAAAGTTTGGTGAGGGGCAAGAACAAAATCAGGAAAACAATTTAGGAAAATATTACAATTATCTAAGTGAAAAATGGTGGTGGAGTCAAATAAAGTGGAAGCTGGAGATGGCGACAGGTGATTGTCTTCTAGAGTTATTTTGAAAACAGAGTTGACAGGCTTTGATGATAATTGGATTCAATGGGTAAGAGAAAGAGATGTCAAGGAAAACTTCAATGCATATCAAGGAAAGTTTTAGTGCATAATTATGTATTTTGTATTTGGTCTGACTCAATTTTTGAACATTGTTTTCTACTATATGTTATGTGCTATATATAAGGCACTGTGCAGGCAAGATGCACTTCCTTCTACCAAAGAGGCTTATGTTCTGGAAAGGGAAACAGATGTATTGGTCAATAAATGTGTATATACCACATTAAAACTAATAACCAGAGTATGCTCAAGTTCTAAAAGTGAGAAGAGATTAATACTGTCACAGAGATGGAATGAGATGGTGATGGAAATACTTCTGGAGGAAGTGATAACTAAGTTGAGTACTGACAGATGCCTGAGGGTTTTTCTGGATGTTGAGGAGAGGGTGGAGGAGTAATATTCCACTGCAAGTACAAAGACACAGAGGCATGAAACAGCATGGTGTGTCGGAACTAGAAGCAGACGTGAATCGCTGGAATGTGAAGTTCAAGGTGAGAAGAGGCTGGGAGTGGAGTGGAGCAGATGATAAAGGGTCTTACATGCCCAGCTTCAGGCCTCAGCTTTATTCTAAAGAAGAACCAGTGAAAGGCTTTAAATAAGGGAAAATCATTATCTAATTTACATTTGATCAGATATAATTCTGGTGACCATGCAGAGATAGATTGGAGAGAAGAGAAGGCAAGAGACCAGAAACCCAATCAAAAGTTATTGTAACCATTGCTGAGAGCCTGCATTAAAATGATGACAGAGTGAATGGAAAAGAAAGGATGTACTTAAGAGATACAAATAGCAAGGCCCGTGGCCAATTGGTTATAGTGAATGAGAGAGAAGGCAGAGTCAGGGAGGCTGGAGATGCATTCCCATTAATTAAGATTAGGGAATACTGGAAAGTAGAGGAGGTCATGGAAGTGGGAAACAGTGACAAGATCAGTTTTGGCATGTTGAGATGAAGGGCCTGGAAGATAAAGATGGAAATCTTCAGGGAGAAATTGGATTTAGGGGTCTGGGAATTAACAGAGAGGTATGGCCTTTATCTGTAGATTTGTGGGTAAACAACATACAAGGGCATGTTTAAAACACCAAGAATCTATTGGACTATCGAAGGAAAAGTTTAAAGTGAAAAGGTGGCCAGGACAGAATCCTCAGGGATATCAACTTCTAAAGGGAGGACACAGGAAAGCAAACCAACAACTGAGATGGGGAATGTGTGGTAAGAGAGGTAAGACAAGAAAGAACCTGGAGAAGGAGGACCCTCCAAAGTCAAAGAAGAAAAGAGAGTTATTAAAGGTAGCAAAAGCCATGATAAGATCAAGTAAGATAAGGACTTAAACATATTTGTGAGTTGGGTAATTTGAAGGTATTTTGATCAAAGAAAGGGCATTTTAATACACAGATAGGGTGTAGGATGGGTAGAAATCAGATTATAGTGGTTTGATGTATGGATAGAAGTTGAGGGAGTAGAGACACATGTAGAGACTATTCTTTGTTTTCTTTTCTTTTCTTTTTTCTTTTCTTTTCTTTATTTTGAGAGAGAGAGAGAGAGAGAGTGAACAGATGTGGTAGAAGTAAGGCAGTTTAAGAATTAAGAGACTAGCAGATGATGGCTTTATATATATAAGGATTTCATACTGAAAATAGTTCCAAGGCAATAAACTCTGACACATGGCCATGGGAATGGGCCACCTGCAGGTGTTTGAAACTGAGGTAGTCAATGTTCTGGCAAGTGGCAGTGTTGGCGGAATCCTCCTTGTGGGCACTGAAGTTACTCAAGATGATGGCAGAAGTTGAATTCAAGGGAAAGAGTATGCCTAACTCCTCTGTAAAGATGGAGGAGAGAACAGATGACAATCACCAATAACAAATAAAGGTACAGAAAAGCTAAATGGGATAAATGTCAAAGCAGGAAAGAGTTTTACACAAGAGTGTACATGTAATGGGCATTGGCAAGGATATCTTCAACTCCTTCAGAACCTGCCATACACTTGGGAGAGCTGCAAAAGGACGTGATATCCTTGAGGTGGAGACAGGAAGTGGAAGGTTCCATTTCAGTGAAAGTATGTAAGGAGAAAAGACTGTCTTAGCAATATACATATAAAAACAATATGCTCCCAGAAACTGAGGATCATCTTTTATTTTCTGCTAAGACTATTGAAATAAGGGTTTCCAGGGAATCACAAAAACAGTTGTACTGACTGGGAAGTATTTAATATGATCAAGTCTTAAATAAGAAGCCATGAACATAAACATTTAAAACCAAATATATAATAAATAATTATTAAGTTATAAAGTACATAGTTTGTATTAAAACTAAATTCTCAGATGCAAGTGTAAATACAACAGAGCAATAATATAGAATAATAATGCTACAATTTTATACAAGTGTCAAAGAAGACACTTTCAGCTACAGTAGTAAAAATCATGATTAATTTTCCCTGAACTTCCATGACCTACTGCAATGTTTTTCTCCTTTTTTTTTTCTTTCTTCCTTCCTTTTTTGGGGGGGAGAGGGGAACATTTTCTTTGTTCCTGCAGTGAGTGTTGCTACAAATGCTATTGAATAAGGTTGTTCAACTGAACATCAGATTTAGTGAAAGTTTTACTCAGAGTATGGTTAGATGTTCCTGTAAGAGTATCCAGAACATCCAGAACTTTAGACATTCATAGACACAAAAAGCTCTAAAAAAGGTAGAATTGACTTTAGAGATTCAGTCCAACATCCTCATTCTACAGATAGGGAAATGGAAACCCCCCAAATTTAAGCAAGTGACCATGATTTCACAGCCAGCAAGATTTTAGGCCTCCTGTATCACCATCTGTAGGTGAACAGTAATGTTCGTAGGTAAGCCTCTATCTCTTTTGAGGGCTGCTTAAGTCTTGAACACAGAGCAGTGAAGATGGAGCTGTTCATGTCTTACTTCTTCATCTTGTTTATTTCAATGCAGTGCTTTTCTTGGAGTGTTGCTAGGATCTTTACCTGAGTCTTTAAACTCAGTTTAGTGAAGGCTCTTAACCAACACCCCGTTAAATTATTTTTACTCTTAAGGTAGAATCTCTGGTCAAAGGATTAGAACAGAGATTTTAACAGTAAACACACCAAAATAAATATATTATTTTAAATATAAAATCACAGTGTCAAAGAAGTCACCAACTATAAAGCCAAAAACAAGAAATACAGACTTCATCCTTCCCTAGGCAACTTTGTGGCTGCTTTCTGCTTTTATCCCAATAATGTGGGCTGGCACCATTTGACACATAGGTAGGCTCTACATGCATGTTATCATCATTATTGTTTACATGATCCCTTTGTGATAACATTTTAAAATTTTAAGGTAGAATACCGTGTTTTCGATAACACATTTCATTGAGATTTGATGAAATAATTGACAGCTAATATATCTTTTAGAACTATAAATTTATCTGTACTTAAAAAAAATACTTCTAAGTAGATAATTTTTCTTCTCAGAACATACAGTATTTCCCATCCCACATCCTCTTGCACGTTCACAGCCATTTTAACAACAAGAGATTCTCAAATAGCTTATGACATTCTAGCAAAAATTTTATTTTCCTAGAGTTTTTAATTTCATATTTAAATAAACTCTGCTGGAGTTGATAAGAAATGGCAGTTAGAACAGGTTGCTTACTTTTACTATCCATGGTTGAAAGATTGGAATGTTTATGCAAAAGTCTGTTTTCTATTAGGACAGAAGTCTTGGCCTCTTGATTTGTCTCCTTATTTTGATTTGATACAAGTGATTGAATTTGCCTTATGCAAAGCATGCAAGCACAAAGTGTCTGTCACATTCAAAAGAAGAAAGAAAAGAAAGGAAGAAAGGTGACAGACATTTGGAGTTACTAGCTCGCTCCCATGTAATCATTATAACAATTTGAGAAGAGAGCTACAAGACTTTGCTTAAAATGCATTTTGTTCCAGAATACCACCTGAATATGTCCCTCTATACGTTTTAATTGCCATTTCCACAAGCTTAAAATGTTAGCTTATAAGGGGACTTGAACTGGGGAAGGTATGTTAAAACGACTTAAAGAAAAAAGACTACAAGAGTGTATTCCATAAATACATTCATATCTATAGTATTTAAATATTTTTGATAAATCCCAATAAAGAAATAAGACCTTTTTCTGTAGCCATCTAGTAAAGCTATCTCCTGGCACATAAATAAACTATATATTTATATGTTAGATATTCTGAGATAAAAAATAAACTCTTCAGATATACATTTTTAAACACTCAGTTTCCATTTCCTTAAGAGAATAAAGACCAACATTTCATCTTGACCCTATGCTTCTATATTTCTCATCTTGAATGAAGGTATATAACTTTTAAATTAATGATCATCAGACACCTCATTCCTGTGCTAATCAAGGTCAAGGTTAATACAAGACCACTAAATTCCCAAACCATGTTTTTGGTTAAAAATTTTAAGCTTAAAAAAAAAATTTAAGCTTCTCTCTCCATCAAGGAATGCCATATTTGGGCACTAATATAAAGTAAAAATTTTAGAAACCATAGAAATCCATAACATAGGAAATCAGACTTAATTGAGTAGACAGCTTTTTCAAGTTGACCAGATACAGAGCATGTGGATCAAACTGAAGAACTGTATAGTAACTGGGGGGAAATAATCCTGACTTGAAATACTGATCTGAGTCTTTTTCCCCATCACCAATATGTTGTACTCCTCCATTTAGAATACCAAGAAGTGAGTTTCACTACTGTGTTAGAGTATGTAATATAGTGTCCAGCTTCAAGTTAGATCCTCAGGAACCTTCATATCTCATTTGTTCTAGGAGAGATGCTGATGAATCATCTGTGGAAATAGTATACCATGAGTAACATAAATGTAAGAATAAATCTGGATAGATAAATATGAAGTAGAAAATTAAATACAATTTCAGTTGCATACCTTTTGGATAAGTGATTTCAATCTTTCTAGGAATTCTTTCGGTGATGTTTTCTCATAAGAATCACATGAGGGGCATGTCTAGAAATCAACAAAAAAGTTCAACATTTTTCCCATTTAATAAAATGTTCAGTTAAAATATATTTTTTCCAATTAGAGATATAAACCGTGTTCACTGAAAAAAATTTTGAGATGTGCATAAAATTGTTCAAGAAATAACAATGGGAAAAAATCACTTGTAATCCCCATCCTCAGAGATAACCACTGCAATCTTTTGATGCATATCCTCCCAGCAATGTTTTTTTTCTTTGCATTTATGTTATTTACACTGGTTGGTAATTAGCTTTATTTACACTCAACATATACAAGCATTTCCTACCTGTTAAATATTCTTCAAAAATATATGTAATTGTTGCTCTGTATTCCAACGTACCATCAAACTGTTACTATTTTTGGGCACATAGATTGTTCTAACTTTTCACTATTGCATACAATGCAAGAACATTTCTGAATAATTTTTATATAGATCTTTATTTAAAATTTCTAGAAGTACAATTACTAAATTAAAGGAATAAAAATTTTTGTCTTGCTGTATATTGTAAAAAAGTTCCACCTGTATTCATGCAGAGCATTCGTACTATTATTGAGTACTGTTAAAATTTTTTTTGGAAAAAAGTAGGATTTCCTTAGCTTCCATTTATTTGATTATAGGAAGATTGAGCAATTTTTCTTATGTGTCTTGCCTGCTTGTATTTCTTTTTTTTTTTTAATTCTGGGATTTTCTTCTTTATCCTTATTCCTTTTGAGAACAAAAACACCAGGCCATTGCTTGGTATACAACGTCTCCAAGCCCATTTGATGTTGTAGTGGGAGCCTTTGACTGAAAGGTAGGAGATGTAAGTTCTAGTTTTCATTCTGCAACTTAGTATTTGCAGGGCTTGGACAAGTCACTTAATGAGGTCTCATTTTCCCATCTACCAAAAAAGGTGCTTAATTAGATAAAAGCTCAGTGCCCGCACTGCCATTTCATAAGTCTTTGCTATTGGGTTTCAAATGCTCCTTTCTTTCTGAGGAAAGTTTTAGAGGGATACTTTTTACAATGAAACCTGGCTAAGAAATCAAAGGAAATAAAAATCATTTTGATAATGTCATTAAGGTTTCATTTGAATCATATGTGAAATTCCTTAGAAGAGAGAGAACTGATTCAAAAAAATATTTTGGAGAAATTTATCTTATGTGTTATTCCACTGGTTTTGATTAATTCTTGAATTAGTGATGACAGTATCAGCATTGCTTATGAGTTGGCATAGGAAGAAATATACAAGAGGGTCTCAGGGCCTCCTAGGGACTATTAAAATTCTCCAGCCAAATAATGAGATCTGTCCTATTTAAATATAGTGCTGACTCTGTGATTATATAGGACAATAATATTCTTTAAGAGAAGAAGGCAATCGCTTCTCGGCCTTTTGGCTAAGATCAAGTGTAGTATCTGTTCTTATCAGTTTAAGAGAAGAAGGCAAAATATGAGATTTTTCTTGGTCTCCTGTAGGCTGTCTCTTTTCTTATAGGAAAACTAGGCCCTAGCTCCTGTTAATAAGAATACAAGTTATATGTGACCATATGATGAAAGAAAAATACTTAACTCCTAAGTCACAATTAGATTTCCTGCCAAGTGACTTCCTCACCTTGAGAGGCTATTTTAACTTCTTCCAGCTACCAGAGACTGTTAGCAAATTCTTAACAGGATTTCTGGGCACTTTTGAGTCTGTGGATTTGGAAGAGGTGACTTCACTTCTCAAAATACGCCATAAAAGACAGCGTGTAACTGGAAGGAAGGCACTGGAATCTCTGGCTACAAATGTGTGTATAAGTGCGTTATGTACCGTAAGAGATGTAGTTACTAAGTACAAATAAGAGAGATGACAAATGACAGTCTTACGGGTCTGTGTTTCTGTCTTCTGCCTGCGTTTGTGGGAGGTAGTTTCCTCTTCAGCTGTTTAGTTAATATGCTGATTATCTGTTCATTGCCTCCTGTATTTGCTGCCTTTAGTTGGACCTTCTGAAAACATGAAAAAGCTGACCGTTCGCAGTGTCTCTGAAAAAGAAATAATTTATATATATGTAAACAAAACAAAAGTTATTCAGAAAGTAAATGACCTTCCCAGTCCTCTTTTTCTACTTCTACTACAGCATATTAGATCACATTTATTTCAGCAGATTGTGAGGAAGGAGTTCATGCCCTATGCATTTGGGCTCATTAGAAGGAGGCACCTGCAATGTAAAATTTCATCCCGTACTAGGGAAGAGACAACATTTCCCTCCCTACAGGCAAAAGGAGGGATCCTAGCTTTTCCATTTCTAATGCCATTTTGAGGTCTGGGTAGTAGACAGGATCTTCTAAATTTTCTAAATTTTCTATAAGTTACACTATGACTGGTTGCAGCTTTGGGTGAGATACGCTGTAATCTGATTAGCAATCTTTTTTATTTGATTTTTGTTTGTTTCTCTCTACAATGTTCATGGAAGCATCTAACAGTGACATGTCTCGAGCAACATCTTACCTTACACAACACCTGGCATCCTGTCTTATTGCTAGTCAGTGCTCAATAACTACGTGTGGAGTCAACAAACGAAGTAAATGAGTTAATGCCCCTACTTTGGGTGAAGGAAGTGGCTATCTACCTCTGATGGCATATTCTACATCTAAGAGTCCATACACCTGTGACAGACTACACATGACTCTTCTAAAATGCTATTCACACTCTTAGGTCACTTAGGGTAGGATTCTGCCTGAACTACCTAGTCAAGGAACAGAATTTGAGACTTGTGCAACCAATGGGACGGAGGACTGTTCCTTAGAAACTAAGGATGGTGTCTCAAAGAATGAAGAAGAGGGCGGAACAAAGACCAAAACCTTGTCTCTTGGTTTAGTCAAATAACTAGAGAGTAGTAACTCAAAAACCGTAGAAATCAAACTGAAAATAAAATGGAATATATCGAAAGAACAAAACTTAAATTGACTTATTAAAAACATTTTAATGCTGATCTAAAAACTTGTATCCAAGTTTCTTTTTTCTTTCAGCCAATGTGTGTATATCATGCTATTCTATCCACACCCCACCCCACCCCAGTAGTCGCATCCCTATCTCACTAATGTGTATGGAAGACACAGCCATATGAAACCAGGAACCTTAATTTCTCTCAGTTCCTACAAGGGCAGTTCCACATATAACAAAATTATCTGAGTCTTCTCATGGACAATCAGCTGAAAATAGCATCTGGCCTGCTTTGCATTTTCCAACCCATATGCTTACCCAATATGAATGTTGATTAATAACATGCATCATTAAGACACAAGCCTGTCAGGCTTACTTTGCATACATAGCCACAAGCTGAGAACCAGCTTATCTAGTTTCCTTCTATCAGAACAGTTTGCCTCTCTCATAAGGGCAAGGTAATATCCTTTCCATATGTTTGCCAAAATGCTTATTTAATAGAAACTATTTATAAATGTTAATTATAGCACTTTTTTTTCCTTGAAAACCACATGCTCATGTTTGTTGAAGTTTTTTCTTTTCTCTTCTTTTTGACCACAACCGGCTTAACTTACTGGAAAAAAATAATATTCATATTTAAAGAGGTAAATTTTCCAGCTGAAACTGAAAACACTAACTGCTTCATCCGTGATGATCTGAGAAACCAGCATTTCTCACAGAAGCCCATTTTGCTGAGTTAACATTTACATGGGTATGTTGAAAGAAAGTTACGTTCCAAAGAAGTATAGGGGCCCTACCGAATGAACTCCCTTGGTATTGCCAGGAATGGTCAAGATCAGTAATGAAAGAGCTTATGCCTGAGAAAGCTTTTCTGAAAGCCTCTGGATGGCGTCTGGACACTGACAGGCTGCACTGTCTCATGCCCTTCCTTGTTTACCTGTGTCAGTAGGCGGTGGTATGTTGCTCAGTGCTTTCTGCAAGCAGCAGAGCTGTCCCCAGCCATGTACAGTCCAGGACAAGTAACTGCTGCATTGGGCTTCAGACACACACCAAAGGCAGCCTCAGAGAGGAAAAGAAGTGGAGAAGCTATCCTGACAACTGCCTTACAGATGCACTGGGAAGGGGAGTGGAGATATTAACCTTGCTTCAGGCAGCCATGGATGGCCTGTCACTCCTGGTCTTTACAGAATGAACCCAAACTCATGTGTAGAACCACCATCTGGGAGCATAACAATTATTTTCCTTTGCTATGCCTTGGTGGCAGCAAACTATGAGGGCAAGGCTTTGATTCCTTCATCCTTCAACACATGATAAAATGAGGAGTTGTGTGTCCTATATTATTGCAAAATAGAAGGAGCAGTACGGAAGTCAAAAAAGCAAGAGTAACAAACAGAGAACAGTCAACTGCTGCTTTTGCAAGGAAGCACGCTTGGCTTTGTTGTTTTGCAGCTGAATATTTGAAAATATTTGCCTCCTTATAGCTTATTTTTAACCTACTTTTCCCCCTCACAGAAAGGCCTGACCACTCACACTAGGAAGTCTTGGGCAAGATACCTTTGTCCCAAAGGCAAACTAGGTTTATATCAGGGTTTCTCAATAGCAATACAATTGACATTTTGGGCTAGATAATTCTTTGTTGTTAGGACTGTCCTGTGCATTCTAGAATGCTTACTAGCATCTCTGACAAGTAGAAAGCACTCCCCTACACACAACTGTGACAACCCAAAATTTCTCCAGACAATGTCAGATGTTGTCAGGAGGGCAAAGTCATTACCAGTTGAAGATCACTGGTTATATAATTATAAGAAAGAGAACAATGCCTGGCAAGGCCAATAAGGGATCTGAGATAATCGCAAAGTATCAACATTTACATGCAACATGCAAATAAATTTATTTTCCTTATTTTTAAATCTCTTATGGGCCCTGCTTTGATGCTAGCCCTGAAAAACTTGACATAATGCTACTGTGGCCTTGAATTATTTTCTTCCTAAGTTTGCCTGCCAGCATAGCTTAAAGATCTTTGCTATACCATTACTCACTTGTATCATAGCAAGCATTGTTTGATAAGATTGTCAGATAGATACACTGTCACTGAGATGAAATCTTCTCATTATGATGTAAGGTAAAAAGCCTCTATCTTTAACAAAGCATAGATATTTAATGAAGGAAGTACCCGTTGGATCAACTCAAGTTAGAAAATGGGAAATCTTTCTTATTTCTTATTCTGCAAGTTATACAGGGTTAGTCCAAAAGGACTCTAACCACAGCAGTTAAACAAAATGCGTGAGATGCTGAAAATGTATGTTTTGATAATTAGGTCATCAATTAAGAAATATTCTCACTTATTAGAAAAGGCTTTCCAATAAGCTGAATGTGCTGCTTTCATTTTAGATGCTGCTTATTAGAAAAAGACCTAGTAAATGAGAGTGGTTAGGTTCAGAGCTAGAGAGTGAATTTTAGAGAAAAGCAATGGTTGTGACTCATTCACTTTCTAAACTTTTACACATAGTCATTTACGATAATTGTTTTCTTTGCAATGTATCTTCATATGTCTCCTCCTCTGTAGTGTCCTAATTACTGGTAGCACTTTTATAGTTATTCTAATTTATGCAGTTAAAGGTCTGAGACAATGAAAACATTTCCCCAGTTGCATTTTTATCCTCAGGGTACCAGATGTGAAGACTAGAACGAAGTTACTAAGGAAAAGACCAGCACGCAGCCCTCTTGAACTATGTGCTAGGTCTTTTCTTCCTCGGACCTAAGGGATTTAAATGGCTTAAGAGAATGGGATGAGTTTTTGAAAAAAGTCCTTTTGAAAGACCTCTCCAAAGGCCAAAGACAAGACTCACTGAGGCCAAGGTATATGGGAATTATATTCTAAAGGACAGCCTTGACTTCCATACTACCATTCTTCTATGCTGTTCCTGTAATTTGTTCTTTCTTCTTTCTCTCTTCCTTCCTTCCTTTCTTTTCTTTCTTTCTTGTTATTAAAAGGTGCATTCTGCTTCTTCCGGTGTGTGTCTATATTTCTTAGGTAGGTTTGCAAAGGAGGGCTCAAGAACTGTCATTCTACAAGGGCTCTTAAAATCTAATTAGTTGGTCATTATTCAGGAACTGATCATAGAATAGATTTATTTTCTAGTTTTGTTAGTCTGTCTCAATAGTGCTACTTGGAAGGACTCTTAGAGGTATTTGGAGATAAAAATATATTTTATAAGTTATGTGGTGTTTTTATGATTGGCTTGCTGGTAAATCAATGAATATTTGACCAAAATAGGAATAACTATTTTACCAACTATTAAACCCCCTAATTCATGGAAATTAAGTATATTCCTAGATAATTATGTTAATGGCTTTCTTAATTGGATTTAAAAACTTGTGTCACAAATATTATCACAAATAAATTCAACTGGTCTTACCTTTACGTCTTCTGGAGCTGGCAGAGGTTCAGGTTCCTAGAGCAAAAGAAAATTAGTTCTGGGTTATTTTTATAAGTCAAAAAGCACCTTTTATATTAATTGAAGAATAATATTTAAATTTTGTTGTGATAAGTATGGCCTTACCAAATAATTCACATAATTTTGCAGCTGATCAACAATATCTATAAGTTGACGCATTCTAATCAAGAGGAGATCCTTCTCTTGGAAGCTTGACTTATGGGCTATTGTCCCCAAGAAGATGACCATCAGGCAGATGACTATCTTCTCCATGTTGCCAGCACTGGATCTCATAAGTGCCAGTAGAGTAAGACCTTGGTCTCAGTTTTCACTGCAGTTTGACTGTGAACAGGTTGTCAGTAAAGCTACCTATTTATTCATCCTTCAGGGAGAGGTAAAGCCCTCCCATTGCAGCCTGGAAATCTTTGTAAAATGGATGAATGTGAGTAACTCTTTTTTCTTTTCCACTGGCTAGGTATACGTGTGCATGTGCTAATGCGTGGGGGGCAGGGATTGATGGAGTCAACGAAATGTGCCCCATCTGCATCTTAGACAGGAAAAAGAGAAATGGGTGAATTCCAATTTTCAGCATGAATCAAGAAGTGTGCATGGTAAACAGTAGGTACTACAAAACTTCAAAGAAGTAAACAAAAACACTTTGATCTCTCTTTCTCTGCCTCCCCTAGCATCTTACCTGTTCCCTCTAACAGTCATAAGGGCACTTCAATAATGAGTAAAGTGGCAACATGTGCTTTCTTGCAGGACTTTTTCTTATAGTAATAACTATGTCTTTTGACTGAAATCATCCAGTATTCCATCGTAAAGGTAGGAGGGGAGCTACATTTTAGGAAATTTTAAATATCAGGGGTATTTTCCAAACTAGCAAGAATATTTTAGGCTTTTAATCAGGTTAAAGAGTTGAAAGTAGAAATTGCTTACAATTCTCCCTGAGAGCATCTTTAAATAACATTAATCTTGGCTCCTAATATTTTACTTAGCAATCTGGTTTTTATGTGTGTCATAAATGATTCTAAGAGACTGTAAAGAAATTCATGCCATCTCCCAATCAGGATCTCACTCTACCTTCATTTAAAAAACAACAAAAAAACTCTCTGATGTCCATCTCTTCTATACAATGCATCAATTAAATGAATGAAAGGTACTAATTCTCATTCTTGTCCAAACCAAAAACTTTTTCAACAGCAAAATCAAAAATACCCATAAATTATTATGGGGGGGGGGTAGTGTTACTTATTTCTTTTAGATATGAGACAAGGGATGAGCAACACATTTCTAACTATGACCAGGTAGAGGTTACAAAAGACTCAAAGTCCATTAGTGGCTTTATCATCTTTCTCTCTGCTGCTGCTTCTGTTCCTACTGCTCTACTTATTTGAGAAAGTTAAATATAATATTCTAACCAGAAGTAGTTTTGTACCACAGTCAGTTAGGTCTTACAAATAAAACTCTTGACTATGGATTTTACTTATTCATTTGTTTCTTCATCTATTTCATTGCATGCTTAAACCATGCTTTATTCTAGGCTGTATGTAGACAAGGTAAATTAGAGTTTGGACTTGATTTGCTTCACTATAATTGTTTTTTTTATCAGAATATCTATTTAAGACTATACATGTTGAGTGCTTACAAAGTAGATAAGAATTCTTACTGTATGATCAAGAGGCCCTCCCAATAAGCATTAAATTCTGTAAGAGAGGGTTCTATGTAAACCTATGAAATGCATGTGGACTACATGTTGTCACTTGGTACCTCAACATTGCCTGCACAGTCTTATTGTACATGCTTTCCTGATCTGCCTAAAGAGTCTCCTTGTAAACACTAACCACAATGGTTAAGAGCTCAATTTCTAAAGTTAAGTGCTTAATTTCAGATTCAGGCCCTAGCAATTAATAGCACATATGACCCCAGGTATGTTATTGCAAAAGGAAGATAAGTGTAGAACTAATCATTGGGTTGTGATGAGGCTTAAATAGACATTCCAGGTAACGGGGGTGAATACAGCACATGATAAAATCCCAGAAAGTTTGTGTACTGATTGTGGATAAGGAAGAGCATGGCAGGTCAGTGGTCAGCCAAAATGCACTGGTGTGACTGTGCTGATTGTAACAAAGTGGAAAGTCTTTCATATTGCTTAGAGAGAACCATTCCTTACAGCCCCAGAGTGCCTCACCAACACCCTACAAATCCCAGTCCCTCTCTGAGACCTCCCAGCCCTCTCTACTATCCATCAACCAACATGCCAGGATCTCCAGGGTCCTGCTGCAGCATTATGACCTAAGATCTTTCTGAGGTCTTAGAGAAGATGTGATAACAGAAGCAGAGGTCAGAGTGATATGGGGCCAGAAGCCAGTAAATACAGGCAGCCTCTAGAAGCTGGGAAAGGCAAGGAACATGTTCTCTCCTGGAGCCTACGGGAGTGAAGCCTGCCAACACCCTGATTTTAGTTCCATAAAGCTCATTTTAGACACCCTGCCTTAAGTGGCATATCAGTTGTGAAGCGTTTTAAACATTATCGCTGGTGTGGTAGGCTAATCCCTAGAACCCGTGAATATGCTACCTTTATATATCCCTAAATAACAAAAGGGACTTTGCAAATGTGATTAAATTAATGATCTTGAGATGTGAGATTAGCCCACATTATCCAGGGATGCCTGATATAATCACAGGTGTACTTATAAAAGGAAGGCAGGCGTGTCAGGAGTCAGAGAAGATGTGATAATAGAAGCAGAGGTCAGAGTGATATGGGGCCAGAAGCCAGTAAATACAGGCAGCCTCTAGAAGCTGGGAAAGGCAAAGAACATGTTCTCCCCTGGAGCCCATGGGACTGCAGCCTGCCAACACCCTGATTTTAACCCCATAAAGCTCATTTGAGACCTCTGACCTCTAGAACTGTGAAAGAATAACTTTTGTGCTGTTTTAAGCCACTGGTTAAGGGGTAATTTATTACAACAGCAATAGAAAAGTAATACACCTATGTATAGAGTTTTTACTCTTGGGAAAAAGGTGGGAAAGAGAGGAAGGGGTAATGAGAGAACCCGTAAAGGTTGGGATTTTGTTTTCTGGGCTTTTGAGGAGTGCACATAGAGGGGACAAGAAATGCTGGAGAAGAGGGAAGGAAGATTAGTGTTGGCCACCACGTGGTGTGGGATGATAAGGACAAAAATGTATAATGAGGACTTTCAGGAAGTCTGGTGTGTATTGTTACAAGTTCTTCCTAGCACCAAGTAGGATTTGCTTAGGATTGACAGTATGTTTCCAAGTTATGGAACCCAAGTTGCATTTCACTTGAATCTATCACTATGTTTAGATGAAATTTAGGGTGGGAGTAAGGGGACTCAGATTTAGTTGAGTTACATATCCTCTGCTTCCAGATAACCCTACTGCTACCTTTATGGCATCATTCCACTGGGGTCTTAATGGCTTTTTATTCTTTAAATTATAATCATTTTTATAACCTAGATTTTAGTCAGTCCTGCTTTAATGCACGTATCAAAAATGGGAATTTATTCCACTGATTAAATATACCAGGGAACAATTTGAGTATAGCAAGAATTTTGTGTTTGCCTATGTGTGATTTCATCTTTGAATGCAGAAACTGCCTCCAGCTGACTTGAACTGTATAGGAATGCACACAAATGCTGCAAACATCCTCCAGCTGCCTTGATTCACCAGGTATATCATGAGCCATACTCATCCACTTCGGGTGTTATAATTTTCTGTGCTCAAAAACCCTCTGTTGCCATTTCTTGATAGCTCTCACACTCACCTCCATGGGCAAACTTCAGGTCTTTTTCTAGGTAAGGTGCCATATTTATTGTAGTGTTTATGTATTTCTTAACTATTTAACATGTGTAAAACCACTACCCTTTTTATTAGGTTCCTATTGTCTTTTTTAAGTGTCACTGACAACATTTTTTGAGTATTGTGCCCCTAATTTCATTTTCCCCGTAAGCTCTGTGGTTGTTATTGTGCAATGTTGTACAGCGCAATGATTTTTAGGAAAGTATGTGTCACATTATACCAGAACTGACTGTATTTTGTCTGGAAGAGGTCACATTTAAGCCTCAACAGCAACGAGTTATATCCTAGAGCGAGTCTAGGATATAGGATTTATTCTTGAGGGGGAAGAAAAAAGAGAGATGATGGAGGAAAGGAGAGAATGAAAAACCAACTATTTCTTGTTTTATACTTGGCCCATCCGAGCTCAGGTATTTTAAAACCCTGGTGCCATTCCTCCCGTGGTCCTTCCCCATTAGCACAAGAGAGTTTTTCTTGGCATCTATGGACATCCCCCCGCCCCACCGTCCAGGGACCCCTATCAGTGTGTTTCAGAGGACCATAAACCTCCTGAAATTATTTGCAAACTTTAGCATTTATGTTTGTGGGAAGAGGAAAACCTTAAATTTCACCCACTTCTCAAAGGAAATACCAGACAGCTGCTGTTTTTGTTTTTCAGGCTCCAGAGACTTCTGTGAAGGACAGAGTGATCCATGCTTCTTTTGTGTACATACACCACTGTGTGAGTGTGGGGCGGCTCCAGACTTTCTATATGGGAAAAGCTGAGGCGTAGCAGTCTGGCTGGACGGCATACTTGTATAGCAAGCACACTGCTTTTACTTAGCTTCTGTGTTAATGTGGCGCCTTGCAATGAGGCGGTGGGCTCTACTACATGCATTCTTTCCAGGAATATAGCCCAGGTCATCACCACGAAAGCATGAAGCTCTAGTCACCCTCCAAGGGGATTTATGGACATATTTTCAGCATTTTATCTAATGGTCTGTGCTTAGAGACTTCCTGGTCTGGGTAGGAATGAAGCCTGGGAACTGAAGGAAGGCTTCCAGCCAGGAAGAACAGGCTGAGGGTAAGAGGAATAAAAGAAAGGAGGACTTGAAGTCTGAAAATGAATGCTGCTAGTTCATGGTTTTGCGAGGGCAAAGCTGTGCTGGATATTATTTGGTCCAACTCCCTTGTCCTGTCTTGCAGCCTTTCCTTGTGATCATCATGTGTCAAATACTCCCTGTTTTCACTTGCTTTGTCCCCTCATGGTAGAATTAGATGTTTTCCACAGCAAGCTCTGGGAAGGGAGGCCTCCATTGTTTCGAATAATATTAAGGTATTCTAATATGTAGCACTCCTTCAAACTAAAGGTATTTAGACAAATGGCTCATCCCTAGGCTGGTCTCTAGATAACTATGACACCCATAGGCTCAGTGAGGCTAGAGATCAGATGTCCTTCACTCCATCAACGAAGCTCCACCAGCCTCACATCAGGA